GATTCGCAGCTGGTGACCTTCCTGTGAATAGGAAGTTCGACTGGGTCTGATGAATCCTGGACCCATAATATCGCAATGAGCCGTACACCTTCTCGTAGCCCTGCTGAAATATCCCGGCTGAGTCGCCGATGAAGATCATTGGGGCATGACCAATATCGAGTTTTGCACTTTTTTCGCCAATGTACTGAGCAACACTTCGACGGCCCCAGCGCTTTCTCTCGCAGTGAAGCCCACTGCGATAGGACAGAAGCTTCCCGGTTGCTGGATAGCGCCTATCAACATGTAGGGTATGGGCCTGTTTATCTACTGGCGCCAACTCGGTAGATAAACACCAGTAGTATCTACAAAGTCAACTCAATCTCCCTCATGGGACGGACCCTGATGTATTCTCGGCTCCAGTGAGATGCGAGGAAGGACGGCGCATCCTTGAAATTGTAGCGCACCCTCCCCGTTTCTCTACACCCCGGATCAATCATGTCGCCAGAACCGATCCACCTAGTCTCTTCTGATGGTGAGACCGTGCTCCCTCGTCGCGCCACGGCGGCCTTCGTCACCTGGCGCATGGGCCCTGTCTTCGCTCCGCCCCGGAAATTCTCAACATCGCCGTCCTTCATCACAACATTGTAGTGATCGTTGAGGAAAGCGACTAGTCACACCACCGGTGTGCCGGCTCACCCTGTCAACGACGAGCAGGGAGGTACAGGAATTCCGGTTTCCATTTCCATTATATCGCGAGCGAACGATACCTCACCTTGTAAGAAGATCCAAGCGTCGCTTTGTCGAACTTGGCGGAGGTGGAAACTTCCAGAGAGCATGCCGTTCCGCCAGAAGTCGCCGGCGCGGGAGACATCATCTGCTGGATGACCTTCACTTGATCATTCCTCTCCCCCTCGCGACTATCCTCTAATGCTTCATTGATAGCGGCGAGGACCTGAAGTGCATTATAACGATAACGTCTACTCAGAATACCATGATCGTATCGAGGCATATCCAATATCACATGCCGGAGGAGCAGTAACCCAGCGAGTAACTTACAAACGTACGACCCCCACGAATACATACACCACGAGGATTCAGAGAGTTCTGTGAGGTCCGTCGATTATGCATGAGAAGATTCTCACATCATCAGCCTCGTCATCTCCCTGTGCACGATTTTCCAGCAACGCTTTAGCTTCTAATAAAGTCTTCTTTCCCTTCTCCTTATCCGCATGTCGTTGGCATTCACCCAACCTCAACATTATCTAATCACCACCCCATCGACTAACTCCTCTCGGAAGACACTCAATTTGTGCAGTATTAACGGCACATTGATAACGAACTCACCGCGGCTTTCTTCCGCGCTTCCGACGCAGCTGGGTGGCATTTCTCACAAATTTCCAGAGCCTGTCGAATGATAGAGTGAATGGAGCCAACGCCCAATCTCCATCACCTTTTCAAACTCCTCGCAGGCTTGAGGGTATCGCTCTTGCAGCTGCAAAAAGTCACCAAGTCGACTGTGACACCGCCTGAGATAACGAATTGTCCCAAACGACTATTTAGCCTATACTTGCTGCATTGATCAACTTCCTCATTCAATGCCCAAGGTGAGCAGAAAATTCACCTGGCCAGATCCCACGGCATCTCCTCCTCCGAAAAAAGCTGCAGGCACTTACGACACTGCTCGAGATTCTCCCACGCCAACTGAAGGTCGTCCACTTCAGACTCGGCATACTCGTCTGTACGATAAACCTTGAGTATAACCACCTGCACTTCACACTACCTTCGGCTCCCTTATCTCCAGCCAGCTCCTTCTCCCTCGTTGCTTTCACCATATCAACTGCCTCCTGCAGCCGATCCATTGCACTCTTTGATGACGACCCTACAGCCCATCACCGAATCCCTACGGACTTCCACTGTAGGCGTCTACCTTCCAACGCGTTATCAATATTGCCACTATTCTCTCCAACATCGGCGTTCAAGAGATCCACAGATTCTTCCTCTTTCGCCAACAAACAATCCCTGCATTACACAATGAGCATCGACTAACACTTCAAATTTGAGGGTAATAAAATTCCAGCAAAATCCACTTCGATAACCGTAAAGCCTCAAGAGTTTCGTGGCGAGCGACATATACTCCAGACCTATCTCGAGCCGCCCTCCCACCCACCCGAAATCGAAAAGCACCGCCGCCATAGCT